CTAGGATTCATCGGGAAAACATTTTTAAAATGCACCTACTAGGAAGAAGAGCAATAAGACGGCATTATAAAATGAAAAAGTGTGCTTTTTTATTTTGAATGGCGAAGACATGCTCACCCACAGACATTCACAGGTTAATTTTGAAGTATTAGCAACACAACAAAGCTAATGCTTTTCACGGAATTTACGTAGTTACCCATTATACATTGTGATATAGCCTGGTTTGTTGGTCCGTTGGATCGGATTGCTTTCTCACTACAACCGAACAGCTCCAGAGTTAGTTTTCAACCGAGCCAAAACCACCTCGTTCAGGCGATCTCGGACCGATTGTTTTGGCGTGGATCCGGGCGCGATTGCCGTGTTCACATATGCCCAAACGAACCGAGCTAAGGGGGGAAACGCGTCAGGTTCCAAAACAACGGGACAGTTCGTTTGGATGATGTGAACGCTGTCTTCCGAACTCGGGTGCGTACCCGATTCCGCTTAAATATGGTGGTCTGGGGTACGGTTCATGTGAAATCCGGTACGGTTTGCTGCTGATGTGAACACAATCGTACCAAATCGCAGAAGTGAACCGCTATTAATGACGTATTATTTGATAAAAATGTGTGTTTGTGTGTGTGTTTCACTCACTTTCCTGACGAGCGTGACTGACACGCTGCAAACAGAGAGCTGTACATCTAATTTATGTTCGCCTTCAGCGTTCTTTAGAGCATTTACAGTACATTCGTAAGACAGACATAAGTGCCGTTATGTACCGAAGCTTTGTAAACAAAACGAACAGTTCAAAAACGTAAATATATAAAAGTGCAGAGAGCAATGTTGTGCATTTGCCGCCTTCTCCTGCGCCGTCGTTACTAAGCAACTGGGTAAACAGCTGCTGACTTGATGACGCAAACGAACCGCGGTTCGGACCCAAATAAAATAATATGAACGCAGTCCAGCGGGGGCAGGGGGAGTGGGGAGCAATCGAACTCTGGTTCGGACCAGGCAAGCGAACCAAGTGTGAAAGCACCCTTACATGCTTAGAGCAGAACCATGCATCGCTCATTTATATCTCTCTACATGGCTCCCTGCAATACAACTCTGATTCTTCAATCGTGCCATTTAGTGGTCTGTTATTGATACAACCACAACTTCTACAACTGATAACGGAGCACCCAAGCGGGTACTGCGAGTCATGTTGAGGTAATTAAAATGTCAAATTAATATTTTGTTCAATTATTTACTTATCAGGCAAGTGGCCGCATGATAAGCTGGAAATTACGCAGTGTAGTCTTTATCACCCTGCAGAGGTTTCTTTTGCAAAATAATCTGCTGACTGTACATATCCCTCAGTTTGGGAACCACTGGAGTACGTTAGGCGATTTGTGCTCTAGTAATGTGGCCTGTTACGATGCTCTGCGTATGATTACTAATGCCTGTGTAGTACGGCGTTGCACCTTTACAGTCTATGCGTTGCACAAAGAGGACAAAAACGTTCATCCTTGACTCTTTATCGTCATTTGTGTTCAAATTTGCAAAGCGTACCAAATTGAACAAAATAATATAAATGCAAAATTTGAACATGGAACAACATAATACCGGTACTCACTTTCATACCGGTATAGCGTCCACCCCTACTGTAGGATTTTACATTATTGCCATAGTTGACATATTTTCTCATTGTTGAGAATATTTTAAAAGATCGCACAGGTGTGATTTGCTGGTTCCTTTTATGCACTCATTTAACTGAATTTATTAAAAAAGATCAGTGATGCTAAATGCACTCACTTGCATACTAAGCAGTGATTTTATTGGTTATGCTGTATCTTTTATGAGGTTAAAGATGATGAACAAAACCATGCCTACATTTTTATAGAAGCCTTATCCCACATTCATCTGGAAAGATTCTTCTCTTTGAGCAACAGTCTCTGCTTTACATCAATTAAATTTTTCAGCCTCTTATCAACTCTTATTAATTATATATTTTTGTGTTATTAATGTTTGTGTGAACTATTCTAATTGGCTAACAAATTTGAATATATTTTAACATGCTGCTTACTTCATAAATGCCTCTCTCTGTGTAATGCTGTCTTTGTCTAAGCCCTCTGCTGAAGTTAAATGCTTTGAAACATACATCATTGGATTTGAAGCATTAATAAGTCACATTAAACACTGTTATAGAGTGAGCATTGACATTTAAATATTTTAACAACTGCCACTTCCTGTTGCCATCCTCACTAGGCTGAGGTTTGGCTATATTATGTTACCGCATACAAACTGACACAATACTAACATGAAGATTGATTGTTAATCTATTTTCCCCATTATTTATTTATGTATTTTTTTTTTTAAATCTTGGTACAATCGGTTCTCTTAAAGGGATAGTTCACAGAAAAATGAAAATTGTCTACATTTACTCACCATCATGGTGTTCAAACCTGTTTTTTTTTTTGTTTTTTTTTGGTTGGTTGGTTGCCAATGTTCTTCAAAATATCTTCTTTTGTGTTCCAAGGAAGAATTAACATTATAAAGGTTTGGAAAACATGAGGGTGAGTAAATGATGACATGAATACAATTTTGGGGTGAATTATCCATGCAGATACCTCTGAAATGCCAACTGTGTGAAAGAAGCTTATACAACGGCTTTGTTGATAATGTCATTATTACACTTACAAATTCATTGTATGGTTTTATTAATCTGATTTCCTTTATCTGTTTCAGGTAGAGGGATTCCTGATGTGGCAGCTTAATGCCAACTCGACGTAAAACCAGAAAGCCCTTCTGTAAAACATGGTGAGAGGGGTTCTTGAAACCGATGAGCTTACCAGGCAACACTGCTGCCACTATGGAGAACTCTAACTAATGTGAACTTGATGGAGATGATGATATTACACATAGCAATGATGGAACAGCCGCATTGACAAAGATCAACTGCACTCACTCTCAGTGCGCTGCTGCCAATCAGCATGCTGCGGATACTGTCACTCAAATTTGGCCGCGTCTACCGGTGCGGCAAGTTCCTCTTCATCATAGCTCTATTTGTTATCCTGCTGATGAACACTCACAACCTTTTAGCCTCTTTCCAGAGGAACGAGCTCACCGACCGGCGATTCATCGGCCTCAACAAGTGTCCGGCCTGCTTCGGCACTAGCTGGTGCCGCAAGTTCATGAACAGCCAGGTGACCTTCGAGATGTGGGGTCGCCTGCGCTTCCTAGACTTTTTCAATGTAAAGAATGTTTATTTTGCTCAATATGGAGAACCCAGGGAAGGAACGCGCAGGGTCGTGCTCAAACGCCTGGGCTCCAACCAAGAGCTCGCAGAGATCGATCAGAAGATCTGCAAACGGGCCACTGGAAGACCTCGCTGTGATCTCATTCAGGGTATGTACAAAACGGAGTTCGCCCGACTTAATGGGGACGTAAGGCTGCTGACCCCAGAGGTGGTGGAGGGCTGGTCGGATCTGGTGCACTGCCCCTCGCAGAGGCTTCTTGACCGTGTGGTCAGGAGGTACGCGGAGACCAAGGACTCTGGCAGCTTCCTGCTGAAGAACCTTAAGGACACGGAACGAATGCAGCTGCTGATGACGTTGGCGTTCAACCCTGAGCCTCTTGTGCTGCAGGTATCCACACACTAGCCGATAAAATATCTTCTTTAAATGCATTTTCAAGTTGCTGAACCTTTCTTTTGATGCTGAAGCACTGTGTCTGATGCCCGCTTGGAAGTTAAAGGGATTAACGGTGCATCTTTGCATATTTTAAAGTTCTGCACAAGGCTGTGTAAATAATAGATACTTTGTGTCTGTTGGTGGTCACTTAGAGATGTCTCTGCTTTGGGCAACAGCGTGCTTGTCCTGAAGAATTCATTCAGACATAAATCATGGGCATTTGTTATTCCATATGCAAAGTTTAAAAACACAGAGGTGGCATATAGTTCCGAAAGTTGTTTTGTCCAAAACATGTTTTTAGTATGTTAAACATTTTCCACTTAAGGGCGTGTAATATTGACGAAAAAATATATCTTTATATGTTCTGGGATTTCGTCAATAGTGATAGTTAGATGAAGTCTTGAGGGTTTTTGTACTGGTACCTTGGCTGGTTTAGACCTGTGGTGGACAGCTGGCTTTTGAATATTTTCATATTCTTCAAATTCTCTGTGGTGGTTAGTTCACAGCAGTGACAGAAATTAACTTTTCCAATCAAGAACTTATATTTATGGTGGCCCAGTAGTGCACAACACAACAAAATGTAAACGACGCAACAAAATTGGCACAACACAACAGAAACAAGCGGAGGGATTTAATGCATGGTCTAATGAAATACAAATTTTGATATCTAATATATTTTTATGAACCCTTGGACGTTTCTATGGGGCAGTACATTAAATATCAGGCCATTTCACTGTGCCCTTTCTATAATGGAGTGTCTGTTTACACTGTGCAAATAGACTGCCTTGTTGACATATAGGTTACTTACACTAATGTCTGGTTGGGCCACACAAAATTAAAACTGACACCCGCCATGTAACAGCTGTAGTGGCATAGGGAGTAAGGCATATAGAAGTACCTTTTGATGCAATCGATCCGAGTTCAAATCTGCCTTTTGCCGAACTCACTCTTCTCAATTTTCCTATCGCATATCAGATCGGAAACGCATTTACTTTCAATTAAGAACATTTTTGAAAAGTGGAAATAATGTGCATGACGAGTGTTTGATAATGAAGTATATCAGGGCTATGGGTAGGTGTGACGTTGGCTTTATTGTCCCAATAAGGTGGCATCCATTTAATAATTTTAATACACTCTAAAAAATGCTGCATTAAAAATAACAATTTCTGGGTTATTTGGCAACCCAGCACTGGGTAAATATTGAACAAACAGCATGCTGGGTTATTTTGACCCAGCTTGTTGAGTTTTATACATTAACCCATTTGTTGTTTTGTTTTACATTGTTTTTTGACAGTGCTGTGTCAGTTAACCTATTGAAGATTTTTTTTTCTTCATTTTAAATAATAAAAATGCACTCTAAAATCTGTATATATATATATATATATATATATATATATACAGTTCATATACATACTTCATATACAGTCTTTTACAATCATACAATCTTCAAAAACATTCTGTAAATGTTTTAGGACATGACAGGAGCAGCAAGAGTAGCCAATGGGAATCTGGGGGAAGAAAACTGCTATCATTAGGCTGTTCCAGTTCATTAAATGACTTACAATCATGACTTTTCTTATATTCATGTTTGAAAAGTTACATTAAAAACAGGTTTACCTTGTGCCATTTTGTCTGTCAGACATTTAAGTTTCAACCCGTCAAACGCATAGCGCAACCACACCTGTAACAATGGTGCACTAGATCAATAGCGCTCCTGTTGTAGTCAGTGGAGTGCACAGAAACTTTGTTGCATATAACAGCAAAGTTGCGTCGTGTTTCAGCACTGGTCATGCATTCATTTGGCTGGAGGTCAAACGTCCACGGTGGTGCCAGCGCATTGTTCACTTTGAGTGTAGATCCGGTGAATGCTACGTTTGTAGAAGGCTAGCATTACACGCAGACGTTAGCTGGGACATACATTTAAAAAAAATTATAATAATAAAAAATAATTGGAAAAATGTGAGATTACAGATGTTTTATTATTTACACAGTAATAATTTGATGGGATTACAATGTAATACATACCTTAAATTCATTCAGGAAGTTTCCCGTCAGTCAAGTTTTCTCTCAGGACATAAAATACGAAAAAATGACCACTGACAAATGTATCCAATTTTAACTGGTTTGGCACAGTTTACCCAACATTGGGTTACACTGACCCAGTGCTGGGTAGGTGTGTGAGGAGATTCATCATTTGTAATGACAGTAAAAGTGTTGGGTGCTGGGTTATTTGGCAACCCAGAGCTGGGTAAATATTGGACAGAACACATGCTATGGTTATTTTAACCCAGCTTGTTGGGTTTTATACATTAACCCATTTGCTGTTTTTTTTTTTTTTGACGTAGTGCTGGGTTCATGGCCGGACTTACCATTGGGCCTGACTGGGCTGCAGCCCATGGGCCCCGCTTTTGCCCGTTTATGTTTGTTTGATTTGTTCGGTTATATACCAGTCAGAAATGATTAGCCGCATTTCCACTGCACACACAAGGGCTAAACGGCCAGCTGGGGCAGCTTCCAACTACTACCTTTGAGGCCATAATCAAACAGCATAAACTGGTAGGCTAGTTATGATTATTTCACATAGTAGAAGGACATACGTACTGAATCGCGACTGCGCTGATTAATTTGTGAACATATGGCTACTTTAAACAGCTCCATTAAGCCTTTAGCCCAAAAGAGCACATATTTAGAAAGATACTGATAAATTCTCATATGTTCACGCCTCATTTCTTTACAGAGGATGATTCTGTATTATATTAATGTTCCACTAAATTATGCAATCTGTGGAGTTTTGAGCGCTCTCTCCTGTCTGATTGCCATCACACATAATGGGACAGAAATGTAATCAAAATGAAAAAAAAAAAGGCCATTTAATGATTTTCTGTTTTTATAACACATGCCTATGATATAGGCATTAGCCTATCACACAAACAAGAGTCCTGTTTTTCTGAATATCTGCATGATCGTAAATGTACAATAAACAACAAGTTAATGACTAACTTTCTGACACAAAATTCCGTTTTACTCTGTCAAAATAGAACAAACAGCAGAACCGCTGCATCTCCGAGCAACACAGTGTTTAGTTCCTCAGCGTTACACTGACCAGTAAATGATTCAATCAGGCTATAAGTACAGTCATTTGTGAAGTTAAACAAATTGGTTGATTTAAGTTTTAAGACAGTCACTTGCTGCCGCCTACTGCCTGTTGTAGTTTCACATTTAAAAAAGTCGTTTATTATTTCATTTTTGCAATCATTTAATATTTTTATTAGTGTTGTCAAAAGACCCGGTACTTCGGTACCAAGTCGGTACAAAAAAAATGAAAATGTTACGGTACCAGGTTTTTTTAAGTATCGGTGGTACCGAGTACCCGGTAAAAATGGTTCTTGATGCGCTATCCGAAAGGTGTGCAGATGCGCTCTCTTCATAAAAGCACTGAGACGTGGCGACATCAAAACGAGGAAACACACCAAACTAACAAAACACTTTAAAGACAGACACCCAGATCAAATGAAAGAGTTCAAGCGGATAGGTTTAATTAAAATTTTTAACATTTAGATCTTGTGTTTCCCATGCATTGATTTTTTTTTTTTTGGCGGCCCACCACAATATCAAAACTGACCACCACAAATAGATTTTCCAAGCATGATGATATTTACTATTTTTACACACCGGAGGCTTTTAAATGAATTGTGAATCTAAAATATGCATGTTAGAGAATGTATAATTAGCATGTTTTGCTTTGGTACCGAAATCGGTACAGAGAATCGTGGATTTTCACTGGTATTGGTACCGAATACTGAAATTTTGGTACCGTGACAACACTAATTTCTACATTGAAATGTTATATTTAAACTTAACATAATTTATGCAGAATCTATTTATGGATTTTTTTGATAGTGATTTGATTTGATTGAATTTGATTGTTAATAGGCAGCGTGTTTTTATTCAGATTGAATTTGAGTAAATTTAAGAATCTGATGTAAGAGGACACATATAGGCTATGACAATACATTTTTATAATACTAATACATCTATCTTTTTTTGCTCCGTGTAATTTGAGGGTTTTGATCTCTCAACTGAGAGAACACATCCTGTTTATCGTATTATAATGACTATTTAATATTACATCTAAACTTTGACTAGGGTAGACATGTTGCATATTAATTGTACTATATATGAACCTCAAAGCATATTTTATTTTTTTGTGTATTTTGTGTTACTCCATAATGATTTTCTAGTTGAGGGTATTTGTAGAGTATAGGTAGGGCCCAAACATAACCTCAAGCCCTAAGTCCTGCCCTGGCTGGGTTAGTCAACCTATTAAAGATTTTTTATTTTAAATAATAAAAATGCACTCTAAAATCTGTTTTATATATAGGACAAGAATAGTTAATATACAATTTTTTTTTTTCATTCAATGTCATGTCAGTCTTTTACAATCATAAATTCTTCAAAAACATTTAGTAAAGGTTTTAGGACGTGACATGAGCAGCAAGCGCAGCTAATGGGAATCTGTGGGAAGAAAACTGCTTCCAGTAGGCTGTTCCAGTTCATTAAATGACTTATATTCATGTTTGAAAAGTTACATCAAAAACAGCTTTACCTGGTCTGTCAGACATTTAAGTTTCAACCCATCAAAACGCGTAGCGCAACCTCAGCTGCAACAAGTGTTGGGTAAGTAACTTTCAAAAAAGAATTAATTACTAATTACAACATCAATATTGTATTTAAAGTAATTACATCAAAAACAGCTTTACCTGGTCTGTCAGACATTTAAGTTTCAACCCATCAAAACGCGTAGCGCAACCTCAGCTGCAACAAGTGTTGGGTAAGTAACTTTCAAAAAAGAATTAATTACTAATTACAACATCAATATTGTATTTAAATTACTTTTCTAATTACTCTGTCTGAAAAGTAATTTAATTATTCAACAAGTAACTTAATTACTCTAA